TATGGAAAGCATATAGTAGTAGATAATAGACAGAGATTTGTCCACTATTTTTTTTGATTCTCTGATTGACTTAAAGGTTATGCTATATCTCTTTATTTTTCTAGAGAGCATAATACTTAATTTCCACAAAAGTGCATAGTAACTAGTAGTACTATTATTCTATTTGATACATTATTTTTTCTTAATATTCTAGTCATATCACTTTCATCTTGAAGTAGGCTTATTGCAGCAAAAACTATATGTGAATTTTTAATATTATTTTGTATTTTCATATATCTGTTTGACACTAATTACTTAGCTGATTTGAGTAAACGAAAGTCTATTGTTGAGAATTATATCCAAATGACATTATGAAGAGTTTAACTCAAGAGGTAAGTATTTCCTCCATATTTGAAATTATTTTTATCCTTTGCTATTAATGATATTAACTTCAATGAGTTCAATTTGCAATGCACCATGAGGGTAAGACATCGAGATCAAGTCCTGATGCTCCATGATGATAAGAGTTGGGTTTGAGTCCCAATTCATTATGGCATAACATGCCTTTATATTGGTAAGGCATTGGTTTTGAGTCTCAATGTACCATATTGATGACATAATGATGACTAAAGAAATATAATATATTTTTCATGAAAAAGCATGAAACGTGTCCCACTTGATTTGCTCCATTCTTGAAGTGAATGTGGTAGCGATGCATAATAAGTCTAAATGAAGACAAGTGGTTGATGAATGAATGTGGACGTACCAAAGACCAAAATAATAATAGTCATCATTATGGTAATTGTAATAAGGAGAACAATAAGGGTTCTCAAGATAATCCTTCAAAAGTGAAGGAAATGTGTATCAATATGGTTTGTAAATATGAGGCACATTAAGATGATTATGGTCCATTCTTTGAAAATGTGACTTGTGATAAGCATTGTAAATACAGACTTATTCATGAAAGTGAATGTAAAAATATATATGTGATACAAATTATGCACAAGAATGTATTTATGCATGATTGAATCAATACTACAACTCACCTATACAGGAGGTTTGAGAGAAGGAAAGATAATGAATATTACTATGTAGTTACATGAATATGTCATTGGTCCCGTACATGTGATACGCCAAAAATATTTCGGCATGCCTTATAAAAGTTATTAAAGATAAAATTAAAGCAAGAAATGATTTTGCTTATGATGATTTGACCATGACAATTATTATTATATGATTTTCTCCGTAAAGGAGATATTCACCATATGGATGGTGTGACAAAAGATCTTATAGTACAAAATCAATTAAGAGCTCCGGAAGAGCTAATTTATTACTACCCGAATGGGTAAAATTATTCATGACATTAATATTATAGTAAGTCTCAAAAGAAACTTTTTGAGTTTCAAATGTACAAGCCAAAGTGGTTGGCATATTGAGACTATAAATGAAAGGAAGATTGAATATCTTGAAATTACTATAATCATACCGGGTAAATATAAAAGGTTACCCGACTTTCTTCTATTTGTACTACACAAGTATAAGCATGATGATTGAATCACATGCCACAAGTAAACTAGAGATTTACTGAAATAAATATTAGTTGGCATGACCGGTTGGCCATCCTGGTTCAATTATGATGCGAAAATTAATTGAGAATTTACGTATATTGAAGAAATAAAAGATTCTTCAAGAATTCTCTTGTGCTGCTTATTCTCATGATATACCAGTTAAAGTTGGGATTGAATCCCTTAATTTCTCGAACGAATAAAAGATGGTAAATATATGGGCTCAGTCACCTGCCATGTGGACCATTTACTATTATATAATTTTAATAGGTGCATCTATTATATGGTCACATGTGCATTTGTTATCAACTTTTAGTTTGACTTTTGCAAGGTTGCTTGCTCAAATTATTAGAGCACAGTTCCAGAATATAAATATGGTGATTTAACTTGATAATGCTGGTTTAAATCCAAGTTGGTTTACCAGAAATTGTATGCCTCCAATTATAGTTAAACCATTGGTTATGAGAACAAAACTCCCAAAACGAAATTTGGTATGAGATGTATTATTTAATATACAGCAGCACTTGTACGCATCTAGCCAAGTTATGAAAATTTCTCCCTATCACAATCGGTTCAGGGTTAGGAACCAAATAATTTCTATCTAGAAATATGGATGCGCTATATGATTTAATTATGTCACCACAATGCATTCCCAAAGAAGGTTGGGAAATGTGTTAGTGATCCCAACATTAGGGAGAGAAAATGGGCAGCTGAGAAAGTGATACGTGGAATGAATTATTATGAATACATATAGATCCTCGTACAAGAAAATATGAACTTGAAGTTCAAGTGATAATTCATTTGCAAATTATTGGCAGACGCATTTGCTGACCTAAATTTAAATGTTATATTTCAGCTGCTAATGCTCCAAATAGAATAAAGTCCATGAGGGACAGAGTCTATGGCACGCAAGAAGCGTAACAGACCAATCGGTTCCAAAGATAAAACTCCTTGAAGAAGGAGAGGAGCAAATGTTCAAGATGGTCATAATAAGGAGGCAAGTGCTCTAGAAGAGCACCACGACATAACACTTCATAAGACCTCATGGGAGACGCTCAAGTACCTGAAAATAATGAGATCTCGATAAGTTATGTGTTTATTGAGTGATGATGGAACCGATGCAAAATGATCGTCGACGATATTGTTAATATAATGTAGCGCTCAATATTATTAATATTGACGAGAATCTTGAGCTCAAATCTATCATGAAATTTGGACAGATAAATAATTGGCCAAAATAGAAAAACGCAATTCAAGCAAAATTGGCTTTACTCGAAAAACATAAAGTTTTTGGACTAGTAGTCCGAACGCCTGAAGGTGTCAAGCCAGTGGGGTACAAATGGGTTTTAGTGCGAAAATGAAATGAGAACGGTGAAGTCGTAAGATATAAAGCACGGCTTGTCACACAAGGGTTTTCGCAAAGGCCTGGTATTGATTATATGGAGACATATTCTACTGTGGCAGATGCAATTACCTTGATGTATCTAATAAATCTGGCAGTCCATGAAAAGCTTGATATGCGGTTAATGAATGTTGTCACAACATATGTATATGGCTCATTGGACAATGAAATCTTTACGAAAATTCCCGAAGGATTTAAAGTTCCTGAAGCACATAAAATTTCAAGGGAAACTTGTTCAATAAAGCTTCAGAAATCCTTATACGGATTGAAGCAATCAGGGAGGATGTGGTACAATCACCTTAGCAAGTATTTGCTAAAGGGAGGGTACAAAAATGACCCTATTTGCCCTTGTGTCTTTATTAAGAGGTCTGGAACTGAATTTGTCATCATAACTGTGTATGTTGATGACTTGAATATCATTGGCACTTCTAAAGAGCTTTCAAAGGTTGTAGAGTGTTTGAAGAAAAAATTTGAATTAAAAGATCGTGGTAAGATAAAATTTTGTCTTGGCCTACAAATTGAACATATAACAAATAGAATTTTTGTCCATCAATCAACATACACTAAAAAGGTTTTAAAGCGATTTTACATGAATAATGCATATCCATTGAGTACTCCAATGGTTGTGAGATCGCTTGACATAAATAAAGATCCATTTCGGCCTCAAGAAAATGATGAAGAGCTCGTTGGTGATGAAACTCCATATCTTAGTGCAATTGGGGGCACTGATGTATCTTGCCAACAATACCTGGCCAGATATTACTTTTGCAGTAAGCTTATTAGCAAGATTCAACTCCTCCCCAACAAGAAAATATTGGAATTGTGTTAAGCATATATTTAGATATCTTCGGGGAACTCTAGATATGAGATTGTTTTATTCTAATGAATTCAAGTCAGAAATGATTGGCTATGCCGATGCAGGTTATTTGTCTGATCCACATAAAGCCCGATCTCAAACAGGCTATTTGTTTATATATGGAGGTACAACTATATCATGGCGTTCAATGAAACAAACAATAATTGCCACATTTTCAAATCATGCTGAGATAATAGTTATTCATGAAGCTAGTTGAGAATGTGTTTGGTTGAGATCAATAACTCAACATATTCAGGAAATGTGTGGTTTTCTTATGAAAAATGATAATCCAACTACACTATATGAAGATAATGCTGCTTGCATTGCTCAACTGAAAGGAGAATACATCAAAGGAGACAGAACAAAGCACATTTCACCCAAAAAAAAATTCACGCATGATCTTCAACAAAATGGTGAAATTAATGTTCAACAGATTCGTTCATGTGAAAATTTGGCTGATCTGTTCACTAAGGCATTATCAACTTCAACATTTAAGAAGTTGAGACAGAAGATTGGAATGCGCCGTTTTCGAGAAATAAAGTGATGTTTTCACAAGGGGGAGTAAGATATGCGCTAGACTCTTTTTCCCTTAGTCTAGGTTTTGTCCCACTGAGTTTTCCTGGTAAGGTTTTTAATGAGGCAGCAAATAAAGCGTATTACAGATATGCGCATTCTTTTTCCTTCATTAAGATTTTTTTCCACATGGTTTTTTCTTAGTAAAGTTTTAACGAGGCATATTATCTATGGACATCTAAGGGAGAGTGTTATAAAATCTTGAATTATGGTGGATGTCCATAACCACCAAAAGAGTAATGATCACTACTCTTCTCAATTATCTCCATAACCTCCCTCATGATCTTCCTCCATGTTCTTCCTCTGAAATTCTTAATGACATATTCATGTAAAATATTTATATAGTGATCATTCCACTAAATAGTGGCAATTCCACTCACTATTTTACAATAATGATTATTCACTTTTTATGCCATATAAATACCTTGTAATAGATAGTAAAGATAACACAATTAAAAAAGAATAAAATATTTTTTTTCTCTTTATCTTCATTTCTTGTTCATATTTTAGTAAATTGCTTTTATTTCATTAAAAAAAAAACATTTTTATGGCTTACCGAGCCCTAAGTTGAGAGTGACGAAAATATCAGTGGTGACTAGTATTTTTAAGGGGCTCCTTAACTGCGTGCTAAAACAAACTTAATCCCCTCGCCCCTCTCGCTCTCTCTCTCTCTAAATATAGGAAATAACAGACTTGGGCTTCGAAGATGGCGACCCAGAAAGGGAAGAAGACGGTGTTAAAGTTCGACTCTGAAGAAGATGTAGCAAACGCACTCGCCAAATACACTGCTGATTTGTCTGATAAGTTCATCAAAGACAAAGGTTCTTTCACTGTTGTGCTCTCTGGAGGCACTCTTATTGATTCCATGAGGTAATCAAACACACTATTCTTTTAGTCTTTTCCTTAATTCCGTCGCCCTTTCAGTTCATCAATGTCGTTTTTTCGAAAAGGAAACTAGTGGAGAAGCCTTACAAAGATTCAGTTGATTGGTCGAAATGGTGGATTTTTTGGGTGGATGAGCGGGTAGTTCCTCTGGATCACGGTGACAGCAATTACAAACTTGCCTCGGATGGTTTTCTTTCTAAGGTGGTGTACTAGATCAGATTTTTCTTTATTTCTCGAGTTACAAGAAATGGAAGCTCTGTAATATTGTGTATATTTCTATGTCTTTTGTGATTGTTTGCTCTGGGTACTACAGATTCAGTTTAGCTATTGTTGTATGGTATCTTGTTCATGGTTGGATTGAACTGTAATCGCTGACCTCAGCTCAAACTATATGTATTAGTTTAAATTCTTGTAAAGTGTATATATTTATATTAAATGTGCACTCATTGTCACAAATGAGTTTTCGATGCAGTGCTACTCCGAGCGACATGCTTAAAGATCCAGAATCCGCCGCTAATATTGTATTAGATGTTCTATTCTGATGGCTCAACTAGATTAGTGAATTAGGATTGAAGGTGTCCGATTCTTAGGTTGAAATACTCCTTCTTTGGTTTAAAAAAAAAAAATGTCCTACCTTAGTAACATGTTATGCTCAATTTATTGTTTCGTTTCAGTTTCCATTCTCATTGGATTGGCTACTAGGTTATTGATCCATATGAATTTACATGATAAGGATTAGATTTAATTGGATGATATTGCTTCTTTTGGCAGGTTCCAATCCCCTCTTCTAACATTTATGCAATCAATGACAAGGAGTCACCTGAGGGTGCAGCTACTGATTACGAGGCTCGTGTGAAACAATTGGTTGAAAGCAAAGTTCTGCCCTTATCGGCGATTAGTGGATTCCCCAAATTTGATCTTATGCTATTAGGTATGGGGCCAGACGGACATGTGGCTTCTTTGTTTCCTACACGTTCTCAACGCCATGAGAAGGAGGGGTTGGTCACCTTCATCACAGACTCACCAAAACCTCCTCCGCCAAGGATTACTTTCACGTTTCCGGTAATTAATTCTGCTTCAGAGATAGCAATGGTGATCACGGGAGCAGAGTTAGCCAATATTGTTGATGTGGTTCTGGGAAGTGGACTTGCTGCTGATGGGATTCCTCCTCCTGCTACGGAAGTTTCAGCTGAAGAGGAGCTGACTTGGTTTTTAGACAAGGATGCTGCATCAAAACTAGAGACCTCGGAATGATTTTTTCACATATGTGATACATAATAGCAGTAATCCTAATAGGTTTCGGACATTACGTTTGGTGGCACTGAAATGTGTTGCTTAAGGATGGTCATACGTCCTTTCTTTGTACTTCTTTCCTGATATTGCTTATGTTTTCTAGTTTTTAACTTCTTCTTTGTACTTCTTTCCTGAGATTGCTTATGTACTTAGGTTGTCTTGTTTTTATCTTCTTCTCTAGAAGTTGAGTTATGTTAATCTATGAAGACTTGCATATTTAATAAGGGATTATGAGGTCCATGATCCCCTATGTTTTTGTTTATATCAGCTCAGAATGTAACATGTTGCATTTAGTATTGTACAGGGAGGTTATTTTGTTCTTAAGCTATGGTCGTCAAGTTTAACTGATTCTCTTTTAGCTTACAGAAAGTGGACGCTGGAGAAGTAGGTAGGGCTTCCCTCCCTCCCCCCACTACCCCAAATAAAAAAACAACTTATCCTTATCTTTATAGTCTGTGGACTTGCACTACTTGACACTTAACACTATCTTTGCTAGCTTTAGGTCTTTTAGTATTCAGATTCTACTGGTGATTGTAAATGATCCAGGTATGTCCTCGATTGCTAGAACTCATCTGCATAGTGCTTATTCTGGTATCACTGCCATTGTGGCAGATGAAATTTTCTTGTGAAGCTTTCCTGCTTCGTCTGTGGGTGACTAAAGGTTTGTCGGACAGAACTTTCATTTGCTTCAGCCATCGAGTAACCATTTTAATACTTAAAAGGCCTCCAATAAGTGATGAGTTTCTGGACCATCACGGAATCTATTAGTATTATTTTGCTTATACTTCAGTACTTCCATCGATTTTCTTCTTCTTAGGCCACGTGGTGTATTGCTCTCCCCTGTGCAAAATGGCTTGCTCCTTCCTACTTCTTGCGGTTTACGACTTCAATGCAATATTTCAGGTAGTTCTTGTATGTTACGATCAAATAAACAAGGTGAGAGTCTCTTGAGTTTCTACCTCTAAGGTATTGTTAGTTGGACTCAGCCAGCCCAAGAGACGTTTTAACAATTGTAATATTATTCGATTTGCCAAGCTCAATTCTTCGTAAAAACATTGCTCTGGCAAACTTACTAAAATAAGTTTGAAATACATTAACTGGTATTGATGAGAGAACAATAAAAGAACAGATAAATTTTCACAAATAGTAGTTTTTTCGTTAATTGATTTAACTTGTTCTGATACTTCATCGTTGTGCACGTACTGCTGCTTAAAAAGTTCCAAGTTGATGTATTTTGTTCCTTTCCACAAACACTGATTCAAATATAAATCTATGTAGATGACTCATGTTAATTCATGAATGAAGGAAGATTTGAAAGCACATTTCGATACTACAACGAAAAAAGGGTGCGTTTGATATGAAAGAAAATATTTTTTAATTTTTCGATGTTTAGTTGGCTTAAGTATTTTGAAAAAACTTTATTCTCATAACTCATGTTTTTCCCTACCAAGAGAAAAGAAAATATTTTCAATTTTTTTTTTAACCTTCCCCAC